CACACACACTGACTTAAAACTGAGGACCGGATGGCCTCAGGTGATTGGACCGTTGTCCGATATGGGAAAAGGCGGAGGCTTTCCCGTAATCGGGACATCCAGCAGGGTGGGTTTCCTTCGGGAGGGATGGCCCGTGCGTTTCCTGCCTCACAGAGGTGGCAGGCTCAGTCCCCTTCCCCTAGCTCCCCCTAACCTTTCCCCTTTCCCCTAATAACCCAAATTGGCTTTATGTCTAACCCTAATTCTGAGTTTGACTTGTTAAAAAAGGTAATTTTTTCCCCTAATTAATTTTATAAAGTACAAATATTAAAATATATTAATTTCATGTAAAAGTGTTAAACCAATAACAGTAAATTCATCATTATATTGTCAAAGAATAATTATTAATTTATACATTCAAATATTAGATAAGCATTAACACAAATTTAAATAATTTAATCCAAGTTTTTTTTTTCAATTCATGTAATATAATTTATTGTAGCACAATTACATGAACACATACAAAGTCAAAACCTAATTTTGTAAGAAGACAGGGACATTGAAACAACATTTTTAAAAAAAAGGGACGGTACAAACAGCATTACAGACCAGAGGGTATAAAAGGAGTGCAAATAGGAGAGAGAGCTCGTTCTGCTTTCGATGGCCAAACGGTGCACATCTCCAGCAGCCAGCCATTGGTTTGAGCGCTTGGATTTTAGTTGTTTTTATTTTCTTTCGTGCCTCACAGGCCTGAGGAAGACCTCTTAAGGTCGAAACATTGCCTGAGGCACGTTTGATTTTTTTTTTTGAACCAGAAGACACGCTCTTTTGTTTTTAGGGATTTTTAAGCCTTTGTGCTCTCTTTTAGTTGTTTAAGCCCTTTTGGGTGTATCCTTTTTGTTTAAAAACAAACCTTATTTAGTTATTTTATTTATTTTTTAGCAGAAATTTAAAAGAAACAGCCAAACAGACGGTTTTTATTTTAAGGGATTTTCAAGCCTTTGGGCTCTCTTTTAGTTGTTTGAGCCCCTTTTGGGTTTCACTTTTAGTTGAAAAAACAATTCATAATTTTTTTTTTTTTGCATTTCATTTAAATTAAAAAAGAAAAAGAATATAAAACGAATATTAAAAACCACCCGTCATGGCTGACGAGTGGCAAGAAGTCTGCTATAGAAGGCGGCGCCAGCGCCTCTTCCTTGACAACCCAGCCGTGGGATGGCCCACGCACCTTCCTTCTACCCTCGTAGGAGGAATCAATTCCCCTCCCCCAGTTTAGGTTTCTGTGTTGTTTTCTCCAGTCAGCAGTAAAGCTGCTTTTGAGTTCACGTCTTGCCTCGCCTGAGTCTGCGTCTTGGGTCCTCTCTTGCCTGCACACAGCCATAACATGACACCCACATTGAACTTACCTGCCGCCTTTCTGATCTCACTGATGTTTGTTTACTTCGCCATGACATACTGTAACTGCTGAAACTGTGCTTTCTGCCTTCTCTGGCACTGATTGCAGATCAATCCACAAAGCTGGAAGCATCATTGATCAGAATGTGAGAGGCATTTTTAAACGCCTCTGAGGGTCCGAGGTCGGTGAACAAACTGCTCT